ACCGTGAGAAACGCCCCCGGGCCCTGCACAGCTCAGGGCCTGGGGCAACGCCCAGGCGGAACCTCCGCAGAGGGGAGCTGGCGGGTGGGAAAAAACCAAAACATCATCAACACCACAATGCGCGTCCACACGCTGACGTGGACGCGCCATCAACGCGAGCCCGGCATCTGGGCCAAGGATCGCCCGGCGGCTCGCACTCGCGAGGGCAGGCTGCGAGTGCGAGAGGGAGTGCGAGAGGGAGCCCTCACCGCTCACGCTCCGCTCGGGGGATCCTACGCCACCGGACGAGACGTCCTCAAGGCTCCGAATCCCCGATCGCTGCGCGCCCGCTCCCCGGGTTGGCTGTCTCCTGCTGGTCCTGGGGATGCGGATGCCGAATGCCGAATGCCGGGTCGCAATGCGATGGTGAGTAACTCTCACCTCGCCTTGCGACAGATCACCGTGAGAAACGCCCCCGGGCCCTGCACAGCTCAGGGCCTGGGGCAACGCCCACGTCCCACCTCGCCCGCCGGGCCGAGAGAAGGGAGGTGCGGTGGTGTGAGGCGTAGGAGAAGATGGAGGAGAGGTGTGGAGTAGAGAGTGACCGGCCTGGTCTGTTTGGTTAGTTATTGTGTTTTTGGCTGTAATCCCGGAGGGGATCCTGGGGGCCGATGGGGGCTTTGCATGCATTTCGCGAACGCGGCGAAAGTGGAATCAGCCCGAGGGGAAATTTCATGTGTTTAGCTGTGACCCCGAAGGGGATCGGTGAGTCATTTATTTAGATAGATCTTAACGGCACGTGTCACGGACCGTCTCTCCCTTCCCTCCCAGCTCGAGTTCAGGGGATGAACTCGTCATCGTCGTCTGGCTTCTTCCGTTTGCGTGGCCGGTGCCCTACGGCCTTGTCCATCTTGCTCGTCTTTGCCGGCCGTGGATCTTCGTCTGCCAGCTGCTTCTGGCGTCCCTTGGCTGGTCGTTTCTCGCTCCGTTGTGGCTGCGCCGGCTGGCTGCGTCGTGTGTCCCTCGGCACGCTGCCCCACATGGCGCCGTCGCGTCCGAGGGAGTTGTAGAAGCGGCGTGCGGTGTCGAAGGACGGCTTGCCGTACAGGCGCACCATGCTCGCGTCGATCCAGTCTGCGATGCGCTGGACGAAGTCCCTGGACGCCCCCTGCTCGAGCGCCCACGTCGCTCCTCCCTTACGGAAGGAGTGGGAGGCGAATCGGTCCAGCGGTGTGCCGCCGAATTCCTGCTGGTTCGCGTCGTGGAGAGCCTTCAGGGCCTTCCTGAGGGAGCTATTGAAGTGGTCGCCCGTCACAGGGTCGTCTCGCCACTCCCCGGCACTGACGTCCACGATGCGGAAGAGGTGCCCGGACCTCGGGGCCTTCTCCTTCCTGTCCAGGACCAGAACAGGGGAGGCGCATGTGGCTACTTGCCTCGTCTGGGCTTACAGAAAATCGCGAAGTGTCTGTCCCAGGTTAGGGAAGGCTGGGGGTTGCTCGGGGAGGGGCACAAGCAGGCCCTGTCCGTATGGGTCATTCTTCTGTTGTTTGACGTGCAGGCGGAAACCCTGGCCTCGCCCGAGGTCCGTCAGGTCGTCCCTCGTGAGTGCTGTCACCTCCGAGATCCGCCTCATGCCGAAGAAGGCTATGAGGGCCATGATGCCGTTCCTCGTGGTGCCCAGCGCCCCATAGTTCAGCCAGTAGGGGATGAGCCGCTGGAGCACCTCCACTGGGAGTGGTTCCTTCGGCCGATACGAGGCGTCCAAGGTGCGGTGGAGCCCCTGCAGGAAGAGGCGCACCTGCGGCTCGGTGAAGGGGGGCGGGGGGTGGTTGTGCACCTTGTGCCACGCCTGAGTGGCCGACCGCAGCTGCTTCACCTGGGACCAGTGGCGGTCCTTTGCGAAGGCGGCGAAGGCCCAGATGGTCTTCTCGGGTGAGTCGAGTGGGAGGAATGACGGGAAGTCCTTCTCGGCGCGCTGCAGGACGCCCTCATACGCCTTCTGCGTCGATGGTGCCCAGACCGCCCCGAATGCCTTCCTGACCAGCTCGGCCACTTCCGACGCGTCGCTCGGTGCTTGGAGGCGGTCGCTTGACGTGCCTTTGACCGTGCAGAGGCACGGGATGGGGGCAGCGAGGGAGTGCGCCTGCATCTGGGTGGGTGCGATGGTGCCTGTCCCCCTGCAAACTGCGCACACCGGCGATGACCTGAGGGCGCATCCATGACACGGAGAGGGGAGTGATGAGCGACTGCATCTTGCTTCCTGGTATGCGTGCCGCACTCATGCACATCGCCACGCACTTGCCCGGGCCCCTTATCGGTTGTATCATGTGTGTGTGCCTGCAGGTGGCTTGTCTGCCGCGTGTCCGGGCCATTGTGGCTGT